TATGTTAATTTCCACTATCTTTGAAATCTGTTAACATTTAGTGTCTGTTATTAATTTTTCAGTCAGAATCCACTAGTTTTTTTATTTGTAGGAACATTTGATGGGCCAATCTCCAATCCCCTCCCCCAATAATGACCTATTCCATTGTCAGAGAACTATAGTTAAAAGTTCTTTCTTGCACGAAACTGAAATTTCTCATCCTACCACCCATTAGGTCCATCACTGGTTTCAGCTTGGCATTTCAGTAAATTAATAATATCTTGGACATAGATCCTGTGCTTTAGCTAGTGGTTATTCCTTTCATCTTTGTGTCATCTGAGAAATTGGTAAGGTTGCCTTCAATGTCTGTGTCTAGGTTATGATAAAAATATGAAAGAAGGCCGGGCGTGGTGGCTCACGCCTGTAATGCCAACACTTTGGGAGGCTGAGGCCGGTGGATCACGAGGTCAGGAGATCGAGACCATCCTGGCCAACATGGTGAAATCCTGTCTCTACTAAAAATACAAAAAATTAGCTGAGCATGGTGGCACATGCCTTTAATCCCAGCTACTCGGGAGACTCAGGCAGGAGAATTGCTTGAACCCAGGAGGCGGAGGTTGCAATGAGCCGAGATCATGCCACTGCACTCCATTCTGGGCAATAGAGAGCGACTCCGTCTCAAAAAAAAAAAAAAAAAAAAACAATTAAAGAGAAGTGGGTCAAAGACAGGCACTTATTGTATTGGATACATATATCTAGATATAGTCATTGAATATGATTTTATAAACAGCTATGAATCCTTTAATAATTTGCATTGTGGGTATTTTCCAAAATTATGTTGTGGGACACTTTGTGAAAGAACAGCTTTGCTGAAATCAACATATACTAAGTCTGTGATATTCCCCTGAGCTACTGATCTAGTTACCCTAACAAAAAATAATAGGTTAGTTTGTCATGGTTCGTTCTTAGTGAATCTGTGTCATCTGCTGATGACCACCATGTGCCTTTCTAAATGTTCACAAACCAAATATTTAATAATAATTCATTCTAGACTTTTCCTGGTGATAACCCTGAACCCTTGTAGCTCGCAATTCCCGATTTTTAAAAATCAGAACCCTCAACCATTTTCAGCCTTCTGTCACCTCTAATCTCTGTGAATTCTCGAAGGTTGTTGATAATGGATTGTGAGAGCTGGATGCTTCCCTTATAGCATGCTTTGTCTGGGTCCAGGCACTGGAACAACTTTAGGGCAATTACACTCTGTGACTGTTCATTTATTTATTATCTACTTATTTATTTTTCGACACAGGGTCTCCCTTTGTGGTCCAGCCTGGAGTGTAGTGGTGTGATCACAGTTCACTGCAGCCTCCATCTCCTGGGGTCAACAGATCCTCCTGCCTCAGCTTCCCAAGTAGCTGGGACTACAGGTGTACATCACCATAATTGACCAATTTTAGATTTTTTCATAGAGACAGGGTCTCACTATTTTGCCCAGAATGCTCTTAAACTTCTGGGTTCAAGCGATCTTCCTGCCTCAACCTCCCAAAATGTTGGGATTATGGGTGTGAGCCACTGTACCTGGACCACTCTCTGACTCTTTACTAATCCTAGGCTGTAATACTCTCACCATCTGTTTTCCCTCAATTTACATTTTAGTATATATTTTTAAATTATGAAAATGATATGTGCTCATTATAAAACGATTTCAATATTACAGAAATTTACAAAGTAAAAATAAAAAGTCCCTTCTTTAATCAATCCTAATGCCCAGTGGGAACAGACGGGAAAGTATCCTTCTAGACATTTTCCATGCATTACCAAACATTTTTATGTAATTTTAAGATGAGATTATACCCTGTGTACTGTGCTGCTTTCACCTAACAATCTATCATTAACATCATTTTATATGGGTCATATAGCGCTATCTCTCTTTTTTTTTTTTGAGACAGAGTCTCACTCTGTTGCCCAGGCTGGAGTGCAATGGCGTGATCTCAACTCACTGCAACCTCCGCCTCCGGGGTTCAAGCGATTCTCCTGCCTCGGCTTCTCAAATAGCTGGGATTATAGGCACCTGCCTGTATTTTTAGTAGAGATGGGGTTTCACCATGCTGGCCAGGCTGGCTTGAACTCCTGACCTCAGGCAATCTGCCCATCTTGGCCTCCCAAAGTGCTGGGATTACAAACGTGAGCCACCGCGCCCGGCCACTATCTCATTTTTTAAATGGGCACATGGCATTCTTTTGTAAGCACTGCAAAAATACATTATTGTACATGTATCTGTCTTCCTTCATCTGTTTTTCTATGATAGCACATACTTTCCAGTGAGAATAAAGGGGAAACTGCAGGTGCATAGGGGACTACCTAGATAAAATAAGGAGAAGAATGATTCTGCTCTATCCCAGAGGCTCTTAAGTCCATAGTCATGTTGTTATCTTGACATGGCAATTTATGGCTTATGATTGCTTTCACATTTCATTTGATCTTTATTCAAACCTATGAAGTGGCTGGACCAGACAGTAAAATCATTGCTATTTTGCAGTCTCAGAGGTATTGAGTGTCCGGCCTCATGCCTCACAGCTAGTTAGGGACAGTATGTGGTTAGAATCCATATCTTCTATCTTCCAGTCCACTGCTATTGCACAATGGACAGCTGCTCCCTGCACCCGCATGTGAGAGAAGAATTGGGTGAACTGAAAAAAAAAAGCTGTGTAGTGATTCACAGGGAACTTGGGAAAATGGTCATCAAGAATGTGCTATGTCAGCCAGTTGGTGTCATGCTGAGCAGTGTTTTTTTTTTTTTTTATGTATGTCGAGAAACAAAGAGAATGAATGTCTATCCGTGTGTTTCTAGGTATATCAGCAATTTCTGCTTTCACAGTAGAGACAGTCATAATATGCATATGCACTTGTATCCTTAAAAGTAAGGCAGAGCATTATTCTAAGTGAAGTAACTCAGGAATGGAAAACCAAATATCGTATGTTCTCATTTATAAGTGGGACCTAAGCTATGAGGACGCAAAAACATACAGAGTGATATAATGGACTTTGGGGACTCAGCTGGGAGGAGGCTGGGAAGGGGATGAGGGATAAAAGATGACATATTGGGTACAGAGGACACCGCTCAAGTGACAGGCGCACACAGGTGCACACAAATCTCAGAATTCACCACTAAAGTACTCATCCATGTAACCAAAAACCACCTGTACCCCAGACACTATTGAAATAAAATTTTAAAATAAACATTTCCAAGGGAAATAAGCAATTCAGTGTCAAACACTGAAACACTGAAAAAAAATCTGTTGAAACAACAAATATAGTTGAAAACTATATTTTATCCTGAAATTGGAGTAATGAAACCTAAATAAAAATAACTATGTTTAAAGAAAAAAAAATGTAAGGCGGAGGTTCTTAACCCTGTTTGCATATTAGAATCACCTGGAGAGCTTTTAAAAATAACCAGTCTGTGCAGTGGCTCACACCTGTAATCCCAGCACTTTGGGAGGCTGAGGCGGGCGGATCACGAGGTCAAGAGATCGAGACCATCCTGGTCAACACAGTGAAACCCTGTCTCTACTAAAAATACGAAAATTAGCTGGGCTTGTTGGCACACACCTGTAGTCTCAGCTACTCGGGAGGCTGAGGCAGGAGAATCTCTTGAACCTGGGAGGTGGAGGTTGCAGTGAGCCGAGATGGCGCCACTGCACTCCAGCCTGGCTACAGAACGAGACTCCGTCGCAAAAAAAAAAAAAAAAAAAAAAAAAAAAAAAAAAAATTAACAGAGCTTTCAAAGTGAAGTACAAAATCTGTACAGTAAACTTTCTCTCACCTACAGGGTTAGCAGTAACCAAATTTACCCTGGACAAGAATGTGTCAAATAATCTAAAACTTCTCAGTCATATTTTAGAGCCAAGTATGTAATAAATAGATATTTGTTGAGTGAAAGAATGAATAAATGAATGACCAAACAGAGACTATTTAAGAATCTATTTACTTACAGTCATTTATTCCAGTTCATCAGGGTATTTCTTTGAGAGCCTGCCCCATATCAGTAGTAGTAGCTTCTTATGTCTGCCAAAACAAATAATCACAAACTGGGTGGCTTACAACAATATAAATTTATTTTCTCGCCATTTTGGAGGCCAGAAATCCAAAATCAAGGTATTGGTAGAGTTGGCTCCTGTAAGGAAGAATCTGTTCCATGCATTTCTCCTATCTTCTTCTTCTTCTTTTTTTTTGGGGGGGATAGAGTTTGGCTCTGTCACCCAGGCTGGAGTACAGTGGCGTGATCTCGGCTCATTGCAACCTCTGCCTCCTAGGTTGAAGGGACTGTCCAGCCTCAGCTCCAGAGTAGCTGGGATTACAGGTGCCTGCCACCACACCAGGCTAATTTTTGTATTTTAGTAGAGACAGGGTTTCACCATGTTGGCTAGGCTGGTCTTGAACTCCTGACCTCAGGTGATCAGCCCACCGTGGCTTCCCAAAGTGCTGAGATTACAGGCGTGAGTCACTGCGCCCGGCGCATTTCTCCTGTCTTCTGACATTCCTTGGCTTGTGGATGCATAACTCCAATCTCTGCTTTCATCTTCACATGGCTTTTCCCCTATGTCTCTCTTGTGTCTCAAATCTCCCTCTCTTTTCTCTTATAAGGACACAGACCATCCTAAATAAAGGATGATCTCATCCCGAGGTTTTCAATTACATCTGCGAAGGCCTTATTTTATTTCTTTCCTTTCTTTCTTTCCCTTCCCTTCCTTCCTTCCTTCCTCTTCCTTCCTTCCTTCCTCTTCCTTCCTTCCTTCCTTCCTTCCTTCCTTCCTTCCTTCCTTCCTTCCTCCCTCCCTTCCTCCCTCCCTCCCTCCCTCCCTCCCTCTCTTTCTCTCTTTCTTTCTTTCTTCTGACAGAGTTTCACTCTTGTTGCCCAGGCTGGAGTGCAACCTGTGCCTCCCAGGTTCAAGTGATTCTCCTGTCTCAGCCTTCCTGAGTAGCTGGGATTACAAGGCATGCGCTACCATGCCCGGCTAATTTTGTATTTTTAGTAGAGATGGGGTTTCTCCATGTTGGTCAGGCTGGTCTCACACTCCCAAGCAGATGATCTGCCTGCCTCGGCCTCCCAGAGTGCTGGGATTATAGGCGTGAGTCACCGCGCTCGGCCGCAAAGGCCTTATTTTCAACAAGGTGATATTCATAGGTACCAGGAGTTAGGACTTGGACACATCTTTTTGGCAGCCACCATTCAACCTACTACACCAGTAAAAGTCGCTCATACTGTGGTCCACACTTGTGTCCTACAAGTGAATGATTTTTTTTTTTTTCCACAGCTGCTTTCCAGCAGACAGTAGGATTCTACTTGGCTAGTGCAAGTATGGCTTTAACTTTCCATTAATGTCACCAGGAATCATGAGGAACACACCCATCTCAGCAGCCAACACGAATGAGGTCATGTTAGGTGTCTGGACCTTGCACGATAACAATCTAAGGAAAATCACAAATAGAAAATAATCTTTTCCTAATATTTTGAGATGTACAGTCATCAAATAAACTGAGATGTGAAAAATGACAGTCTCTTTAAAAACACAGAAAAACAAGTCACATTAGAGGATTCCTTCCTCATTAGCTCAACAGTTTTCTCTGAATTAAAGTTTTTTAGAGTATTCAAATTTCTCAAAAGCCTGTATTACAAAAATGAAATGAAAAAGTTATTGTTCTTCAGCAGATATGTGTAACTATAACTTCTAAATTAGAATGAACCCAACAAAATACATTTTTTTCACATACGGTGTCTTTTGGAATGCATGAAGGGCTTGTTTCTTCTCAGTGAATTCTGATTCAAAATGCCTGGCTGGCTTGCAGCTTATCACGCTGAGGATTTGAGCACCAGCTGCTCACCCTATTCATTCAGGTCTGAATAGAGGGGTCTTACTATCCAATACGATTCTTTTATGAACAACAATCATTGCTTCTTACCTATTTCTTTTTCCTTCTGGATTAAATTCTGTATTTCTAAAGAATATTTAAATAAAAAATTTTATCAAACATACACAAAAATACAGGGACTCTCAAAAAGTCATCACCAAGATTCTAGAATTATCAATATTTTTTCATACTTATATATTCTTTCATGCTGAAATATTTTATTTTATTTTATTTTTGTGACAGAGTCTTGCTGTGTTGCTCAGGTTGGAGTGCAGTGGCAGGATCTTGGCTTACTGCAACCTCCATTTGCTGGGTTCAAGAGATTCTCCTGCCTCAGCCTCCTAAGTAGCTGGGACTACAGGCACGTGCCACCATGCCTGGCTGATTTTTGTATTTTTTAGTAGAGATGGGGTTTCACCACATTGGCCAGGCTGGTCTCGAACTCCTGACCTCAGGTGATCCGCCTGCCTCGGCCTCCCAAAGCTAGGATTACAGTTATAAGCCACTGTGCCCAGCCTGCTGAAATATATTAAAGAAACTCCTAGACATTATACCATTTAATTCCTACATCCTTTAGTATGCATCTCTAAAAATTATAGATATTTTCTTACCATAAGTAATGCTGGTATCATATCCAATGATAATTCTTCAGTATTATTTAATATCCAGACTATATTCAAATTTCCCTGATTGTCTCAAAAATGTTTTCTTGTGTTTTTTGGTTTAAATAAGGATCAAAATAAGATCCACATATTAAATTAGACTGCTAAGTCTTTTCAATCTCCTATAATCTAGTAGAGAATTTTTCACAGTGGCACTGCTGACATTTGGGACTAGATAATTGTTGTGGGAAAGTTGTCAAAAAATTTGGACAATTTTTTGACAATGTCCCCTGAGTATAAAATCACCCTTGGTTGAAATCACTGATCTAGTATAGTCCCCCTACTTCATATATATATATATATATATATATATATATATATATGACATTAACAGGCAGGGGGTGATGGCTCACGCCTGCAATCCCAGCACTTTGGGAGCTGAGGTGGTGGATCACTTGAGGTTGGGAGTTTGAGACCAGCCTGGTCAACAGGGTGAAACCCCATCCCTACTAAAAATACAAAAATTAACCGGGCCTGATGGCTTGTACCTATAGTCCCAGCTATTCGGGAGGCCGAGGCAGGAGAATCGCTTGAACCCAGGAGGCGGAGTTTGCAGTGACCGAGACTGTGCCACTGCACTCTAGCCTGGGCTACAGAGTGAGACGCCCGTCTCAAAAAAAAAAAAAAAAAAAAAAGAAAGAAAAAGAAACAACAAAAAAAAGACGTTAACTTATAGAAGACATTAGATGAGTTTAGAGGAGTTGTCTTGTAGAATGTTCTACATTCTGAATTTCTCTGCTCCCTCATAGTATCATCCAACATATCCCTCTAAGACCTATTCCCAGTAAGTGGAAACTAGGTTAACTGAGTCTCAGAATATTGATAGTTTCAATATTTTTGACAAAAATAGTTCCCAGTTGGTGCCATATATTGTACTTTATATTGTATTGTCTCAGGAGGTCTAGAATGTCTGTGTCATTATAAGAGATGATAAGATTGATCAGAAGATTCAGGTGGTAATGGTCTGATTCTTTTATTGTAAAGTTCTCAATCTTTATTTTAGTAGTTTTAGCCATTGATGAGCTTTGCCTGTTGTATCAACTGTTTCATTATGTTGTAAAATAGAAAATTTCCAATTTATTGTTCCTTTAATTTATTACCTGGAGTTCTTTTATAAAGAACTTTCCCTCATTAAGTATTTGGTTACTCTGAAGTATACTTCACTCAGGAAAGGCAGGATTCTCAATGATTTTTAATTGCCAATTTTTCAAAGTAAATATTGTACCCTAGGTTTTTATAGTGTCGAATGTTTGCATGGGTGTGTATTTGCTTTTTCTTGTTTACTTTTATGTTTTGATTCTGTAACATTGTGAACTCATGGATTTTTATATATTCAGTATGTTTAAATCAAATGTAGTCAATATCCTTTTTGTGGTTGTTGTTTTGAGACAAGGTCTCACTCTGTTGCCCAGGCTGCAGTACAGTGGCATGACCATGGCTCACTATAGCCTCCGTTTCCTGGGCTGAAGTGATCCTTCCACCTAAGCCTCCCGAGTAGCAGGGACTACAGGCATGTGCCACCACACCTGGCTAACTTTTGTGTTGTTTTGTAGAGATGGAGTTTCACCATGTTGCCTAGGCCAGTTTCGAACTTCTGGGCTCAAGCGATCAGCCTGCCTCAGCCTCCCAAAGTGCTGGGATTATAGATGTGAGCCACTGTGCCCAGGCCCAATATTCCTTTTGATGTTCATTTTTTCCCTATATTTGGCCAATGGAAGCTTCTCTATGTTTTTACTTTATTTTTCCCAAATAAGAAAGTTTAGTCATTTTTTAAATGAGTAACTGAGACAGTAAACTGCCTGCTTTAAATGTCTGAAGTCTTTATTTTGGCCATATTATTGAGAGAGAGAGACAGAGAGATAGATTTTATAACCTTACCATTGCTTTTCTGCAGTACTTCAAAGATATTAATCCATGGCTGGGCACGATGGCTTACGCTTATAATCCCAGCACTTTGGGAGGCTAAGGCAGGCGTATCACCACAAGTCAGGAGTTTGAGATCAGCCTAGCCAACATGGTGAACCCGGTCTCTACCGAAAATACAAAAATTAGCCAGATGTGGTGGCGGGCACCTGTAATCCCAGTTGCTTGGGAGACTGAGGCAGGAGAATCGCTTGAACCTGGGAAGTGGAGGTTGCAGTGAGCCGAGATTGTGCCATTGCACTCCAGCCTAGGCAACAAGAGCGAGACTCTGTCTCAAAAAAAAAAAAAAAGAAAAAAAAAAAGAAAAAAAAAAGATATTAATCCCTACCTTCTGAAATCTACTGTTCTGATGAGATGAACTCTACCTGATCATAGCTCACTGCTGCATCAAACTCCTGGGCTCAAGCAATCCCCTCGAGTAGCTGGGATCATAGGCACATGCCACCACACCCTCTAATTAAAAATTTTTTTTTTTGTAGAGACAGGGTCTTGATTGGTCTTCAACTCCCGGGCTCAAGTGATCCTCCCAAAGTGACCTCCCAAAGTGCTGGGATTACAGGTGTGAATTACCATGCTCAGGCTCTCGGGTAGTTTTTAAAAAAGTTAATTAACTCCATTGTTTTTAGAACAGTTTTGGGTTCACAGCAGAAAGTACAGACAGTTCCCATACATTCCCCCCAACCCCCATACCTGTATAACCTCACCCACTATGAACATCCCACACCACAGGGGTACATTTGTTACAATCAATGAACCTGCGTTGACACATCATTTTCACCCTAAGTCCTTAGTTTACATTAGGATTCATTCTCGGTGATGTACCTTCCATGGGTTTTGATGAATGTATAATGACAGGTATCCACAATTGTAGTACCATACAGAAGAGTTTCACTACCCTAAAAATCTTTTGTGTTCTGCCTATTATCCTTCCGTCCCCCTAACCCCTGATCTTTTTACTGTCTCCAAAGTTTTACCTTTTTCAGAATGCCACATAGTTGGAATTATACAGTATATATCCTTTTCAGACCTGCTTTTTTTTCTTAGTATTAAGTTAGTGCAAAAGTAATTGTGGTTTGGGACCGTAAATTTTGAATCATTATATCTTGGCTCAAACACATCTTTATTAATCAAAATGGGAACTACTACAATCAATACATTTTTGCCAACGAAAAATAATTTTGTTTATTCCTGCAGTGTAAAACCCATGCTTTGGGATTCAACGAACTCTTGGAAAGCATTTTCTGCATCCTGCTGGTTGTGGAAGCATTTTCCCTGCAAACAGTTGTCCAGATGCTTAAAGAAGTGGTAGTCAGTTGGTGAGAAGTCAGGTGAATATGGAAGATTAGGCAAAACTTTGTAGCCCAATTTGTTCAACTTTTGAAGCATTGGTTGTGCAATGTGTGGGGGACATTGTCATGGAGAAGAATTGGGTCCTTTCTGTTGTCCAGTGCCAGCTGCAAGCATTGCAGTTTTTGGTGAATCTCATCGATTTGCTGAGCATACTTCTCAGATGTAATGATTTTGCCGGGAATTTGAAAGCTGCAGTGGATCAGACCAGCAGCAGACCACCAAACAGTGACCATGACCTTTTTACGGTGCAAGTTTGGCTTGGGAGGTGCTTTGGGACTTCTTCTCAGTCCAGCCACTGAGCTGGTCGTCACAGTTTGTTGTATAAAATCCACTTTTCAATGCATGTCACAATCCGATCGAGAAATGGTTCGTTGTTGCATAGGATAAGAGAAGATGACACTTTAAAATGATTTTTTAAAAATTTTCACTCAGGTCATGAGGCACCCACTTATCAAGCTTTTTCACCTTTCCAATTTGCATCAAATGCCAAACAACCATAGAATGGTTGATGTTGAGTTCTTCAGCAACTTCTCGTGTTGGTGTCAGAGGATCAGCTTTGATGATTGCTCTCCACTGGTAGCTGTCAACTTCCAACAGCCAGCGACGACGCTCCTCATGTTCAAG